GCCCGGGAAATTCAAATCCCGGGCTTCATTAGCAAGTGCGGTATGCATACATTACCCCGCTAGTTCGAACTAGCGGGGTAGTGTAGACATACCCTGAGAGAGTTGAGGAGAGGGGGCATTTCATTCAGCTGTTCCTTCGGATCATGCTTTGTTAGGAAGACTGACTGGACATAGAACCATGGAATCCCAGGGCTGGAATAGACCTCAGGAGTCCAGCCCCCAGTGAATGGTTTCATACTGACTGTGACCATAGATGCATAGGCTGTACATAAATGACCAGATATTTAATTGTGTACAGTGTGAAACTACCATTAACCCTTCTTTTTAGAAGTCATGATTTCTGCTCTCTTTTCCACCCTACTTATTACTTTCCTGAAAGGCCTTGCAATATCATGAACATGTCCCCCAAAGATCTAGTAGGACTGGATTGGCCTCTTCTTTACATATGTCCAGCGGGAGGTTGGGAGCTATTCTTGTGCCACTCAAGCCACTGGAATCTCAGTTTTTCTCCGTTTTATGTTAGAAAGGTGCAGAGCCTGATCCTTTTAAAAAGTGAAACTGCTAATCAGTACCAGCCCCTTGCAGGAAATACCTGCCCATGGTTGTGCCAACTGTCAAAACCGACTGTCCCATGGGCTAGCACTTGACCTTTTTAAAGATAAAATGAAAGTTGAGTTCCAGCACAGCCACTTGTAGGATCTGCTGGAAGACTCAGTCTGACTTCAGAAGTTAAAAAAAAATTATATGTTAAGTGACCTCCTTGAGAATCACTGTAAACACTAACATGTGAGCCTTATTTGTATGTATTGTTAGTCTGTTCTTTTTTTTGTTCAGTACTGAGCAACCTTATAAGCAAATACACTGTCCTGTTTGAAAGGACTAGAGTGCTTCCATGTATGAGTATATGAATTATGTGTAACTATTTGCATATTAGATTTGGCTACATTGCCATGTCGCTAGCAATGTGCTCTGATGTACTAAAAATGATAACATAAGAAATGTGCTATTGTATTACACTACTCTCAGAATTTCTTTTTTGCTAGTAATTACTGATCTTTTTATTTCATTGGTAGGGACAGAAATTATGTTTTATTTTAGTATTGTTGAAAATGTTGATTTTTAAAAGTTTGTAAATTGTTTTAATGCCATAAATGGGCATGTTGGAGATAGATTAGGATCTCCTATAATAGTTAATGTCTATCATTAAGGCACTTAGATTGAATAAAGTACATCTGTGAATTTCTGAGAAGAAAAGTGAAACATCATGTACTTTACTAATCTGACCTTTATGTGAGTTTTGTATTTTAAAGATGCAATAAAATTGAAAGTATGTTTGCATATTGAATGACTTTCCTTGTCCATCCCTCCTCCCCCCCCCACACACACACCTGAACATAATATTCTTTATGCAAGATCACAGCTCTTACTTTCATTTTAAAAATATTGATTTTTAAAGGGAAAAAGGTGAGTCAATGTTAGATTATGATGACAGTGCATTTGTTAAAATACTCAGTCCAGTTAATCTTGCCAGGTTTGAACCATCCCTGAAATGACAGTAAAGGAAGAAGATATTTCTGTAATGCTTAGAGCAAACTTCCAAGGTAGTGCAAGAGGGTACAATCCACTGTTAAAGCCATTTCTAATGTGGTCCCCAGTCTTTGACTTCTATATACCTCAGAGTAGACCAAGATGCATGACAAATTAAGGAAAACAATGTAAAATGTTCCAACCTTAACAGGTCATGAATAAAAACTTTAAAAAATGAAATGTGATAGTTGATGTACATTTTGCAACACATGCCCTCATACTAGGAATCTTAGCTTTTTAAAGAGTCATTTTAGTTATTGGAATTCTTCTAATAGCTCTCTTATATGAAAGTCAAACATTGACTAGGGCATTGTCTTTTGATTCTTAATGCATAAATATTTTTATCAGTTAGGTATGCTAGTAAGTGAAATTTCTTTTTCTAAGTGAAATTTAGGGAAAAGCAAAGTTCCATAGCTTTGCTGTATTTAACAAGTAAGTCTGCATAACCTAATGTTTTCAAAACATTTACCTAGCTTTGTAAAGAAAAAAGGCAATATTGGTTGGGACTTTGCTAAATGAATATTTCTGAGTGAAGTGAAGTATCCTCACCATTCCAGAAGCCAGCTGTGAGTGGAAAGACTAATTGCTGATCGTACTGTATTTTATCTACTATTGGCCTTGACACAATATACTTAAAGTTATTTCAATTTATGATATTTTAAAATTACTCAGCATACCAGTTTTACACTCGATATATGCTCAATTCATATGAATAAAGTTATTTTTCACTGCGACAATAGAGAAGCTTAAGGTTAAGAAGAAAATGAGTAAAACTGAAGTATTTTTCTGCCAGCACTTTTATTCTGCTTATCTACAATTTGTGTTTATAAGGACTCTAGTGCCAATTTAAGAAAATAGTAGAATTACCAGTAAAAGTATCACTTCTAAAAAAGTTGGATTCTTTAAAGAAAAATATATATTTACATATACAGTACAATTAACAAGTAGCAAGAAACTTTTATTGCATCTATAGAAGAATTCTCCACTCAAGTATGTATTTTTCATTTGCAAGAACTGAATTAAATGTTGAATGCAATGTGATCTTTATCAGCTAATCCTAAAACAGTTCTGCGTATTAAATTGCTCTTGCTATACAGCATGTTTTAGTGTAACCTCGACTTTATGATTATTTATAGTAATAGAAATACTCTTGCTTCCAAACATTACTGTACAACAAAATAAAAAGTTCAAACAAATTTATGATTCACCCATATTAATAAACTATTCCTGTGAAAATTTAATAGAAGTTTTAATAATGGTTTGCTGTAATTTTTATTAGTTAACCTACATTGTTCACAATACACGTAATTTTCTTACATAAACAGTAATGATTGAGAGTACAGCAGAGTTGAGAAAGTACAAGTCAAGAGACACAGTAAGTGTATATAGTGTAAATCAGTGATAATTTATTTTTGATCAGTTAGTCTCACTTAATGCATCTTTTCTCAAATAGTTTAGTTGTTAATCTCATTCTGTAAAGAAAGTCTTTCCAGTTCTATTCTGTTGCTTTGTACTTTCTCAAAACCATCTAATTCACTTTTCGGTATGTAAATATTTGTTGGTGACTTTCTAAAAATGAAATATTTACAACAATGTAACTAGAGCCTCAAAAGGAGAAATGTGTAACTGTACCTCATTTAAGTGTCAAGATATTAAAGACTTGTACATGAAAAGTGGTTGAGCATTGATTGAGCAATAGATTAGAAGATTATCCTAGGAAGAGGAATTCTATGAAAGGCAGAAGCACTGATTGCCTCCCGATGTCTCGATTTTGCAAGGGAACACTTTTTTACTTTTAATGCAGCAACATACTTTAAAACTGTACTCTAAGAGCAGGGCTACATGCCCATGAACACCACTAATTTTAATTAAGATTTTTCAATGCCCAAATTAAGCATTACACTTGTTATCTGAATAGATTTAAATGCAGTAAGAGGAGCAGTAATTTGCACTCACTTATTTCCGTTTGTGAGTTATGATTTACTACTTCCTGGAATTAAAATATTACACATCTCCAATGACTTTTTAGTCATCTGACTTCCGAATGAGAGAGAGAGACCAGACAGTCCTAAAAACACCGCCTTCTTCAGTAACTGAGTGGGATAAAATGAATGAGGTATCTTAATTAGCCAGTCTGCCAGCGCGTTGTGTCTGAATTCCTGGACCTCAATGTGTATATTGATATAAAAGAAAAGCAGATAACCATAAAACACGCTAATTGGAGATTAGGAAACGTTTGCAAAATATGAAGATTTGTTTTAAAAAATAGCGGTGAACTTTCTTCTGAAACTTCTTACACCAAATAATAGCTGCTTTCGATAACCACTGCTACCGTTCTAAAGGGCGCTGAAGAGGTTAATTTATGATTGTCTAGCAGTTTGAGTGTCATGTTTCAGTTTTGCCGCTATTTGTAATGTATTTCTGTTCTATTTTAACCTGTGATCATTACATAAGGAGATGGTGATTGTATCTAAAATGCATCATCTTGCTATAGCTTTCAACGTTTCACAGATC